TTGTATTCAGGAAACTTCTTAGCTTTCTGTTTAGTCCAGTTGTGCTGACTTCCCCTGTATTGTGTGTTGTCCTTCCCTTCACCTAAGATAATTCTTATCTGCTATCTAGTTAGTGAATACCTCCTCCCTCCCTCCCCACACTCATAACCATCAAAGAATGTTTTCTTCTGTGTTTAAACATTTTCTTGAGTTCTTATAATAGTGGTCTCATACAATATTTGTCCTTTCGCGACTGACTAATTTCATTCAGCATAATACTTTCCAGATTCATCCATGTTATGAGATGTTTCGCAGATTCATCGCTGTTCTTTACTGTTGCACAGTATTCCATTGTGTGAATATACCACATACTTTTTTATCTATTCATCTAATGATGGGCACCTAGGTTGTTTCCATCTTTTTGCTGTCGTGAACAGTGCTGCAATGAACATTTATCTATTCATGTGACAGCTCGTATTTATCTAGGATATATTCCAAGGAGTGGGATTGCTGGATCGTATGGTACTTCTATTTCTAGCTATTTAAGGAAGCACCAAATCGATTTCCAAAGTGGTCGTACCATTTTACATTCCCACTAACGATGTATAAGTGTTCCAGTCTCTCCACAACCTCTCCAACATTTATTATTTTGTGTTTTTTGGATTAATGCTAGCCTTGTTGGGGTGAGATGGTGTCTCATTGTAGTTTTGATTTACATTTCTCTAATGGCTAATGATCATGAGCATTTCCTCATGTGTCTGTTAGCCACCTGAATGTCTTCTTTGGTGAAGTGCCTGTTTATATCCTTTGCCCATTTTTTAATTGGGTTATTTGTCTTTTTTGTTGTCGAGGTTTTACAATATCTTGGAGATTTCAGAGATTAGATCTGATCAGATTTGTCATAGCCAAAATTTTTTTCCCAGTCTATAGGTTGTCTTTTTACTCTTTCGGTGAAGTCTTTTGATGAGCATAATTGTTTGATTTTTTTAGGAGCTCCCAGTTATCTAGTTTCGCTTCTGGTGTTTGTGCATTGTTCGTAATGTTTTGTAAAAAATATGGAACGATTCACGAATTTGCAGGTAATCCTTGCTCAGGGGCCATGATAATCTTCTCTGTATCGTTCCAGTTTTCGTATATGTGCTGCTGTAGTGAGCCCCCCTAACTTCTTGAGGGACTGCTTCCAAACTGTCCCAGGAAAAAGTGCTGACTATGGGGCCTGTCCCACTGATTCCTGAAAGTAGAGTTCAGGTCAACCTTCCCTGAATGTCCACTGTATTAATTTCGTATGGCTGCTGTGACAAATTACCACAAACATAGTTGCTTAAAACAACACAAATTTATTATCTTACTGTTCTGGAGATCAGAAATCAAAAATGGATTTCACTAAGCTAAAATCAAGCAGTTGGCAAGGTTGTATTCCTTCTGGAGGCTCTAGAGGAGAATCTGTTTCCTTATCTTCTCTACTTTCCAGAGGCAGCCAGCACTCTATGGCTTGTGGCCCCCTTCCAGCCAGCAGTCACATCACTCTGACCTCTGTTTCCATCCTCACATCTTCTCTGACTCTCCTTCCTCCCCATTTCCCTTATAAGGACTCCTGTGATTGGATTGGGCCCACACATATAAACCAGGATTATCTCACATCTCAAGGCCTTTAAGTTAATCACATCTGCAGAGTCTCTTTTGCCAGGCTTTACACTGATGCCCCAACATGGCCTCTGCCTGCCTTGCTTTCCCTGAACCCTGAGCAGAAGCCCAGCGTTCTCCTGACAGCCAGAACTCTCCAGAGTGGCCTCCCACAATCTAAAGCCATTGCCTGCTGGGCAGGAGGGGGTTGCTGGGGATGAAGTCCCCACTTATGATTGGCAGTTCAAGAAGACGTCAGTCCACACTCCTCATTGTCACTCTAGTAGAGGAGGCTGAGGTCAGTCAGAACTTTGGTCTACAGCAAGATTAAGCCACTCCTCCCAGCTACTCCCCTTGCCTGAGACCGTGGCTTTCTTAGAACGGCTGAATCAGGTTCCACCAGGAGTATCATTGAAGAATAGAGTCAGGAGAGGCCTTAGAGATTATCCAATGGAGCAAGGTTAGCAGGAGGCAGCACTACCACCAGAGAGAGCAAGCCTGCCAGGCCACACCAGGCCGTGCTCACTCCATTCTCTGCTGACAGCCAAGACCTGCTCACAGTCACCTGTGATAATGAGATGTGGATGGAGCACTCACAGGAGAGAGAGCCCTGTTGGCTGTATGGTCTGGAAAGCCTCCTGGAGGAGTAGGCGCTCGAGGACTAGTAGACTATCACCAGGCAAAGTATAAAAGGGGCATATATTGCAATTTAAGGAAGCAACGTGGGCAAAAGCACAGTGGGGCAGAGGAGATAAGACTAGGCCCACAAATTGGATGGGATACCTGAGACCTAGTAGTAGCTGAGTTCCTGCCCTGACCTCTTCCTCCAGGGTCCAGCCTGGATTGTCCTTGATCCCAGCCTAGCTGCTTACTATCTTGAGTGAGGGACATCCTGAGAAGTAAGACAGAGGGAACAACTCAATGAAACTAGTCAAGTTGGGGATACCTGCCTGTTCCTCCTATCCATGGTCTGTATACTCAGGACTGGCCACTCTCTCAGGGGCCCAGGCCCTGCAGCTGCCAGGGGCAGAGAAGGCAGCCTTGGAGGTAGGAGGGTAAGGAGGACTTTCATCTTGGCCAAAAGACTGCTCTAGCACCTTCCATCTCTCCAGCTTCAACTCTTCTGAACTCGGGGAACGGACTGGGAGGACATGCTAGTGGCAGGAGAGGTAGACTTGAGGGCTGGGACTGTATTCTCTTCAGTGACTAATTTCCAGGATGGGTGCCAAGTGTGCAGAGAATGAAAGAAAGAGTGGGAGGCACTCCCTTGACATGGGTCAGGGCAAGGAGGAGGACCTCTGCTGAGTGGTCCATTGTTGACCACCCAGAGCTGTGCCCAGGCCAGAAGGATGGCAGAGTGGGTCTGTGGAAGCCTGACTGGCTGGCCTGGGACTTCTGGATTCTGGGAGCATGCCTAGAGCTGGGGCTCAGGCTGCAGCTGGGGGCTGGGGCTGGAGAATATAGGATGATGCTCACAGGTGGTTAGTTTGGGACTTACTATAGACAAGTCCATTTTTCTCCAAGTTTAACCCTGTCCTTGGCTGTGTGTGTATGGGGTGGGTTGAGGGGAGGAGGGAACATACAGGCATTATCCAGGCATCTACAGAGTACCACAGTCTGCCCCGAGGCTGGGCATCTGAGCTCCTTCTGGAGGGTACTGCTCCATCCCAAGCCCCCTACACACATACATTCTTCACTTAGCAAATCTTTAAGCCTGCATTCCCCTTTCCTATACCTCAGGGGACATAGGAAAATGACTATCCATCCCTCAGATAAGCCTAGTCACCTTTACTGTTTTTTGGATCTGCCCATGAACCCTGAAAAGGGGTAGGCAGTGTCTCACGATTCTGTTTCACAGACAGGCAAGTTGAAGCCCAGAGAGGAATCCCAGGCTCTCTGACAGAGACAGAGCAGGGCAGAGCGGTGTCCATGTGGTGGGGGAGGGGCAAGGGGTTTCCCCAACAGGACAGTGGACTCTGCAACCGAAACGGCCCATCTCCCCCCGGGGCAGATGACTTCATGAAGCAGAGCCGGGGTATGCTGCTACTCTACAGCTTAAAGAACCCCAGCTTCCCAGAATACATCTTCAGCAGCGAGAGCGGCATCATGTGTCTCGACATGCACGTGGACCACCCCTACCTGGTGGTGGTGGGCCACTATGACGGCAACGTGGCCATTTACAACCTCAAGAAGCCCCACTCCCAGCCTTCCTTCCGCAGCTCCGCCAAGTCTGGCAAGCACACGGACCCTGTGTGGCAGGTCAGCTCAAACCAGGATGGGGAAGTGGGGATGGGAGTAGTGTGTGCATCTGGGGGCCATGGAGGAGGGACTTTTGGGAGGAGAAGGCCACAGGTAAGTGTATGGGGATGCCAGGTACCAGCTTAGAGGCCGAGGAGCTGGGAGTTAGAAGGGACAAAAAAAGGCAGAAGGTGGGAATCAGGATATAAGAGTGTCTCTGGTGAGAGCTGGGGTCTGCTGCCCCAGAGCTGCCATCAGGAGGGCCCCATCTGTCTGCTAAGAATCTCTTAGATATGGGAATAGTTACTCAGAGGCCATGACTGGACACTTCCAGGGCCTAACAGGCCCCAGCTGAGCATGTCAAGGGCTCCAGTTTCTTAACTCCCCACAGGGCCTCTGCTCAGCCATCTGGGCAGCCCAAGATTTATTTGAGGGAACTCCTAGACAGGGGTGGGTGCTGTTGGTCATCTGCCTTCGGGATGGGGCTGTAAGGCCTGGTCCTTTTTGGCAGGCAGTTGGATATATGAGCCTGGAGCTTGGAGGAGAGCCAAGCTGGTGAATGAGATGTCAAAGATATCAAAGTCTAGGTCCCTCTTAAACAGATTGTGTCGGAGGTATTTGTGGGAGACCAGACAGGTTGTTCAGACCCCAAATACCAGGCTGGGACAAAAGGACTTGGTTCTGTTGGCAGCAGGGAGCCATGGAAGTTTTTGGAGGCAGGGAAACAACTGTTCTAAGGGGGCTGGACTCCTGTCCTATGGCCCAGGCTACTTCCCCACGGAGCCCGCCTGGGTAGCCCCGCCCCGTTCAGGCTCCACTGTGACACCTCAGTCAGCAACACTGGTGTGTATGTGTGTGTGTGTGTGTTATGTGTGATTCCGAGGACGGGAGCGGGAAGGATGTGTAAGCAGAGACTGGGGTCAAGCAGGTCTGCTCTAATCAAATAAAGCAGAAAGAGAAGGAATCAGTTGAGCAGGCTCCAACCCCTCCCTAACCACCTGGTCCCTGGGCATTAATTCATTCTCTCAAGTCCCAGCCCCTCTTACTATCCACTTTATACCTACCCCTCCCATCCCTGGAGCACATATGTGGCTCATACACATATACACACTTGCTTGGAATATACATACGGCCCTTCACTGGGCATCAGGCAGCTAAGTAGGGTGTGAAGTACAATTTCCATGTGTGCTGGCTCATTAAACACTTCCCTTTGCAGCTCCCTAGTGCCTCTTACAGCCTGGCCTTTGACACTCCCTGTCCCCTCCCCTGTTTAAAGGGACCGCCTTTACACAGAAGGGGAAGTGGTCTCAGCATCAGAGCTGGCTCTGATTTGTGGCTCTGTGGGGTTCTAGGCCCCACAGTGAAAGCGCAAAAGAATTGCTGCCCAGACAGGCCCAGGCAGGACTCAGCTGCCCTCCTGCAGCTCTGATCAGCCAGGCCTGTAAGTGGCTGGGGAGGTGCAGCCCCTTACTTCCCCAGACAGCCATGGTGACAGCTGCGGTTAGAGGCAGCAGTGCTGGGCTCCCGGCCTCCCTCACTGGCCCTCTGCTTGTGACAGGGGGAGGGGACGGTGGTCCCAGCATGGGAGGTCTGTAGGGAGCTGGAGGACAGGAAGCTCTGGGCACCCAGCCCCACCCCTGCTCTCCAGGACACAGCTTGGCCGGGCCTCCACATCTGGCAACAGAAACTTGAGCCTCAAGCATGTCATCTTCATAAGACAACAGCTTTGTCTCCAAAACACTTTCCCATATGTTCCCTTCCAGCCCTGAGAAGACGGGTGGGGCAGGATTATTAACTCCGATTTGCAGATGGAGAAATGCAGTTCAAATCTGGGATTTAGGAGCAAGATTCTGAGAGTGGTTGCCAGTGACAAAGTGAAGGTAGAAACAGAGGAGAGGCTTCCTAGAGAAATGCCAAGCCTGGAAAAGGTGGGCAGGGGAGAGGGGCCTACCCCTACCCACCAAGCAAGCAGGAAAAAGCCCCCTGCAGAACCTCAGGCTTAGCACCCAGAATCCTAGGTTGATGATAATAATTAGGATATTATCAGATGCTGTGGAGTCAGTCCCAACTCATGGTGACCCCATGTGTGTCAGAATAGAACTGTGCTCCATAGGGTTTTTAATGGCTGATTTTTCAGAAGTAGATTGCCAAGACTGTCTTCCAAAGCACCTCTAGGTGGACTAGAACCTCCAACCTTTCAGTTAGCTGCCAAGTGCATCAATCATTTACACCACCCGGAGACTAACGAGGATATTAGCTAATGTTAATCGAACACTTAATGTATACCAGGTCCTGAACTATGGGTTTCACATACCTTATCTCATTTACTCCCCACAGTGAGCCTGCTCTATTGTGATTCCTGTTTTATAAATGAGGAAACTGGTTGATGGGTTCTGTCCTTTCCGGGTCATGTCTATGTAAGGGGATTGAACCCAGAGCCATTTTTTTTCTCTCCACAACCAGACTTCTATAATCCAACCCAGGGAGGAATTGGGCACCGCCATTGACAAGCTAGTGGGTTAGGGCAGAGCCCTGACTGGCACTGTTGCCCCAGGATGGTCAGGGAGAGAGGAACATGGGAGACAGAGATGGATGGAAGGAGGAAGGGAGAACCAATCCTGGGATTCTGGGAAATGGGCTCACGGAACTTGCTTCTGAGCCTTACATGGGTTCTTGGAGGAGCCCAGCCCACCTCTCATAACCCAGCTCACAGCCCTAACTCAACACTTTAGCAGTGTCCCAGAGCTCATGGTTTGGGATGTTTCAGGTCAAGTGGCAGAAGGATGACATGGACCACAATCTTAACTTCTTCTCTGTGTCATCTGACGGCAGGATTGTGTCTTGGACGCTCGTGAAGGTGCCTGCTTCCCAGGGAGGGTCACACAGGGGTGGATGGGTGGGTGCTGAATGAAAAAGGGCACCCCCTAACCCTGCTGATCCAGCCCAACCCATGGCCTTCTGCCTGCACCCTATCTGTCTGTCACTGCAGAGCGAGCTGGTTCACACAGATGTCATCAAGCTGAAGGTGGAGGGCAGCACCACCGAGGGTCTCGAGGGGTTGCAGCTACACACAGTAGGTAGGAACCCCAGCCCACGCACATCAGAACTGGGCCAGGTCATTCAGGTGCCATGAGGGTCAAGGACCCTGGTCCTCCCCATGACTGAGCACTCGATCCTCCACTTATGCTGGAGCCCAACAGAAGATAATGAGAAAGCTGAACCTGTGGCTGTTTGCAGACCCTCCCTGCCTCGTTTTGGTAGGTCCCAGCCCTGTGTGCAGACCCTGTTCCTGTTTATGCAGATCAGGTGCTGTGATGTAGATCCAGCCGTTTATGTAGATCAGGCCCTGTTTACCCAGATCCTATCCCTGTTTACTCAATTCCTACCCTGTTTATGCAGACTATATCCCTGTTTACACAGACCATGTCCCTGTTTGTAGACCCTGTCCCTGTTTACCCTGACCCTGACCGTGTTCTGACTCACTCCCTGCCTTGTTTACCCAGACCCTGTTCCTGTCTTCAGAACCCCTATTTGCGGCATCCTAACTGCCTGGGACAAGCAGGCCAGGGGGCTGGTTCCTGTTTGTCTGGCCTGGTCCCAGCCCCGAGAGGGGCTCAGCTCAGTCTGGTCCAACAGCCTGCTCTGAGTTCCCTCTCTGGGTCCCCTCTCTGGGGAGGGGAGGTGCTGGGAGCCTCCCTCTCAGAACTGGGCTAAGGGCTGGTCCCTCTTTTCCCAAGGCTGTGGCACTGCCTTTGACTTCCACAAAGAGATCGACTACATGTTCCTAGTGGGCACAGAGGAGGGAAAAATCTACAAGGTGAGGCAGCTCTGCCCCCATGCCAGCTCCTTACAGGGCCACCTAGACCTGAACACTCCCCTCCCACCCTACACCCCCCCGACCCAGAGTTTATAATTCTCCACATACCCTATAATGCTGACCTTACCAAAAAAAAAAAAAAAAAACAACCCATTGCCATCGAGTCGATTTGGACTTATAACAGCCCTATAGGACAGAGCAGAAATGCCCCATAGAGTTTCCAAGGAGCGCCTGGTGGATTTGAATTGCTGACCTTTTGGTTAGCAGCCGTAGCTCTTAACCACTATACCACCAGGGTTTCCAGACAGACATTAGTGTGTATCAATTCTGGAAGGTTTCCTGGGGGAGGAGGACACATTTCTTGACCTGCTTTGGTGGCAAGAAGAAGGGGAAAATGTGGAAAAGGGGATGGAAAATCTAGAGGGTGACTTTGGGCTCCCAGCATTTTTCCCTCTGGGCCCTGTCTTCCCTCCTGAGATGGGAGGAGGTGGAGGTGGAAGTGGTGGTGAGGTGGGGTGGGGGTTGGAACATTCTGGGAAGACTTCCTGGAGGGGATCTGAACTCCAGCTGAGCTTTAAAGGCCAAGTAACAAGCAGATTTATTTTTGAAAATGGACAGCCTCCAGCCGACAGGATGGAACCTCAGGGCCGTCTGCAAGGTCTCAGTGTTAGTAGGTGAACATCCTCTGAAGTGCCATCGTACAGAAATAGCTCTGCTGCCAGCTTTTCTCAGGCTCACAGACTCAGAATGTTAATTACAGGCAGGCTCCAGGGAGCCCCTGAGGCCCAGCCAGAGCTGGTCTGAATGCAAAAGAGGTCCCCACCCGCTCTCCACCCCTCCCCACTGGCCCAGGCTCCAGGAAGGAGGGACTCACTGCACTGTCTCCTGGAGGCAGGGAGTGAGGGGCATGCTGGTCTGGGCAAGTACCTGAATGGGAAACTTGAAGATAGGGGTTTGCCCCTGGCTCAGCACCTGCTCGTACCTGGGCAAGGTGGGATGTTTATCATCATTACAAAAATTCTGTGAGCTACCGATGGACCCAGGGCTCTGTCTGTCTGTCCACAGGCCCTGGCCTGGAGAGATGGCTAGGCCACACCTGACCCAGGGTCCTCAGATCTGCCCAGTGCTGACTCAGGGAGAGAAGGCCTTTTCTGCCTGGCCTGGCATCCTGCGGGGTTCAGGCCCTCACCTTCCAGGATGGCTCCCCTGCCTACCTGAGCCCCTAGCCCCTTAAGCTCCTCCTTCCTCTCTGGGTGTGATAAGGGTGGAGAGAGCAGCCAGCCAGCGGGCCCCAGCTCAGCCTGTGACACTGATGTGGGGTGAGGACAGGTTGAGTCTCAGTTCTGGTGTTCCAGGGCCCCCAGGGAGGTGCTGTTGCTGACCTCACCACTCTTAACCCCTGAATCTCTCCCTCCCAGTGCTCTAAATCCTACTCCAGCCAGTTCCTTGACACCTATGATGCCCACAACATGGCAGTGGATGCTGTATCTTGGAACCCATACCACACCAAGGTCTTCATGTCCTGCAGCTCTGACTGGACAGTGAAGATCTGGGACCATACCATCAAGTGAGGGGCCTGCCCCTGGCCCTGCCCTGCCCCCAGCTTCACCCTGGGCTGGCCTGTGGGTCTCTGGCACTGTGAGCCCTCGTGTCATGACCTTTCTACCCCTCCACCACCGCAGGACCCCAATGTTCATCTATGACCTGAACTCAGCCGTGGGCGATGTGGCCTGGGCACCATACTCTTCTACTGTGTTTGCGGCGGTCACCACCGATGGGAAGGTGAGTGCCCCTTCCTAACCTGATAAGCCCCTACTGGAAATAGGATGAGGTATCTCAGGGTCTCCCTCATGGAGAGCCCACCCCATAACCAGGTCAGGTACAGGAAGGTGGGACCAAAGGACTGTGTATTCTCAAGGGTCAGGCAGATCAGGGACCATTCATCCCAAGAGGCCTTAAGGAAGGAATGGCAGCTGTTCATCTTGGAGGAAAGAGCACTCTGCGGGATGAGACCCCATAAGGAGTAGTTACCTTTTCTGAGACCCCTGGGAGAGGGAGGTACAGGGTGGCAGGGGCCAGCTCAATCTATGAAAAAACTTACGAGCCAGAGTTAATCAGTGATAGAAATACTGTCTATAAGGTAGTGAGGTCCCTATCCCTGGAAGAATGCAAGCTGAATCTGGGAACAGACTTCAGAAGGGATGGGATGGGAGGGAACTATTCAACAGTGAGACTTGGTGGAAGCTCAGAAAACAGCATTTTGTGAGCAAATTCTTAGACGCAAACCTGTTCTCCTTATGGACTTTAATATAAACTGAGAAGAACCTGCTGCCCCCAGGAAAGAGTATAGTGGTTAAGGTATCACCTTAAAGTCAGTCAAATGTCTACAAAGGGCCAACTATGGTGCCCAGCTTCATGCTAGGCTGTGGTGGTTCAGGTCCCTGTTCTCATGGAAAAGACAAAAAGCAACAACAATAACAAAATTCCTAGAGTGCTAAGTGCTGGCCGGAGAATTAAAAGAGGGTGATGTGTTCACACAGATGTTCGTAACAGTATTATTCATAATAGCCAAGAAGTGAAACAACCCAATGTCCATCAATGGATGAATGGATAAAATGTGGTATATCCATGTGTCTTAGTCATTTAGTGCTGCTCCAACAGAAATACCACAAGTGGATGGCTTTACGAAGAAAAATGTATTCTCTCACAGTCCAGTAGGCCACAAGTCCAAATTCAGGGTATCAGCTCCAGGGGAACGTGTTCTCCATCAGCTCTGGAGGAGAGTCCATGTCATCAGTCTTCCTTTGGTCTGGGAGCTTCTCTGCACAGGAACCTCAGATCCAAAGGACGCACTCGGCTCCCAGCACTGCTTTCTTGGTGGTATGAGGTTCCCATGTGTCTTTGCTCGCTTCTGTCTTTTATATCTCAATAGAGATTGCATTAAGACACTGATCTTGTCAACCTCATCAGTGTAACCACATCACAGTGATAGAATTTACAACACATGAGGAGATCACATATAATCTCATCATAGTGGTAGAGTTTACACCACATAAGGACATCATATCAGATAACACAATCATACAATACTGGGAATCATGACCTAGCCAAGTTGCTACACACATTTTTTGGGGGACACAATTCAGTCCATGACACCATGCAATGAGATATTTATTTTTTGCAATAACAAGTATACTTACTGCTACTACAGCGTGGTTGAACCTTGAAAACATTATGCCTAGTGAAAGAAGCCAGTCATAAAGGATCATATATTGTATAATTCCATTTCTGATATGGAAATAGGCAAATCTATAGAGACAGAAAGTAAATTTGTGGTTGTCTAGGGCTGGGAGGGTGGGGGAAAATGGGAAGTGACTGCAAATAGGTAGGTACGGGGTTTCTTTTTAGGGTGATGAAAATGTTCTAAAATTTATTGTGGTGATAGTTGCACAACTCTGTGAAAATACTAAAATCTATTGAATTGTATAAATGGCCAAATTATATCTCAATAAAGCCTTTATATTAATAAAAAGAAAAAGGGTGATGTGAAAGAGAAGGACTGGATGGGTCCTTAGAGTGGTCAGGGAAGGCTTCTTTGAGGAGGTGACATCCAAGTTGAGAATTGGATGATAAAAAGGAGCCGGCCATGTGAAGTTGGGGCATCAGGTGTTGAGGGGGGGGGTTCCAGACAGAGGGAACAGCTAGTGCAAACACCCAAGGTGGGAATGAGCTTGAAGGGAATGAGTTTCTGGAACAGAAAGGCAAGTGTGTCTGGGGTTAGTGAGCAAAAGGGACAGAGGAAAGCAAGAGGTGAGAGTGGAAAGATGGGCCAGGATAAGGAATGTGGATTTTACTTTTAGTACCAAGAGAGACTGTTGGAAGATTTAAAATGTTTAAAGGTAAGTCTGGCCGCTGCGTGGAGGGTGGATTGTAGGAGGTCAGTGTGGAAGCAGGGAGACCAGTTAGGAGGCTGCCACAGTTGTTCATGCCAGAGCTGGTCTTAGTTTGGATTAAGATCAAACATTTACTGAGCACTTACATGTCAAGCACTGTCTGAGCACTGTACATATATTAGCTGGTATAAATCCTAGCTCTGCCACTTACTAGCAAGTTAGCTTCTAAGAGCCTTTTCCTCATTTAACAGAACCAACTTTACAGAGTGGTTCTGAGAATTATAATTAGATGATACAACCATGTAACATGCTTGCCCAGGGTATATAGTAAGTGCTCAATAAATGATAGCTATGATTATTGTTAATTCTGTATAGACTTAGAGTTTCTCCTAACCTTTTTATTTCTCACTCCCCCAACTACAGGAAAAACATAAGCAGACACAAAAGTTTCCCTCCTGCTGCCCTCCAGCTGCAGCATGCTAGCCGTTAGCCTTCCACAGTGTTTTCCCAGAAAGCCCAAGGGCTGTTTCCTCTGAGGTAGGGGACAGGGGCCCCATTAACCCTGAGTGTGCTGACACTGACCTCTCCACAGGCCCACGTGTTCGACTTGACCATCAACAAGTACGAGGCCATCTGCAACCAGCCCGTGGTGGCCAAAAAGAAGAATAAGATCACCCACGTGCAGTTCAATCCCATCTACCCCATCATCATTGTGGGTGATGACCGTGGGCACATTACCTGCCTCAAGCTCTCACCCAACTTGCGCAAGATGCCAAAGGTACAGGGTTGGGGGAGGGGTGCCCCAAGAGATAAAGTCTCCAGGATGGTGGGGGATGAGAGAAAGGCATGGAATCAGGTGTGGCCCCCAGGTTTCTGGTTTGGGAGACCCTGGCTGGTGTCATTGCCCAAATGAGGAGCACAGGAGGAGAAGGAGGTTTATGGGGAGACAATGAGATCAGATGTGACACACTGAGTCCTAGTTACCTGCAGGGGCTGCCAGGTAGAGACATCTAGTGAGCAGGGGACTCTATGGGTCTTAAGCTTGGGGGAGGTGCAGGGGACTCTATGGGTCTTAAGCTTGGGGGAGGTGCATGGGCATCATTGGATTATGGATAGGAAGCTGTGGATGTAGGCCAGGTCTACATCCAGGGCTTAGTTACTGCTTAGCTGGCTGGTCTTACACGGGGCTGCAGCTCCACTGGTCCCTGAGCAGGGAGCTGTGAGTCCACACAGGGGAGAAGGAAATGAGCCGTGAGAAGGATAACTAGGTCAACAGCTATGCAGTCCTCCTTTTGAGCTCTGATTCCCGTTTCTGGGGTCTGTTATTATCAAGAGACCCTGCCCAGAGTCCAAGGACCCCAAATCCAGGCCACAGAGCCCAGAGCCATGACCTCAAAGTTTAGAACTCAGAGTCCAGATTAGAACCCAGGCCTTAGAATCCAGAGCTCAAGAGCCCAAGTTAAAAACTCAAAACCCAAAAACCCAGAGCCTAGCCCTGCCCATTTAGGTGTTGGAGTTTGAAGCCCAGTGCAGCTGGGTAGATCTAAGAGAAGAAATGAGATTTGCTTTCTGCCAGGTTCTGGGTCAGGATAGACTGGACCAGGGCTAGGCCAGGTTGCCCTGACAACTATACCCCAGGTTGCAGTTGGAGTCCTTTACTGCAGTTCAAGGCTAGGGCAGAGGCCTGTCTCTTTCAAGTACTAACACCTCCCCCCATGTCCCAGTACCAAGGCAGGACCACGGCTGCACTGTACCTCTGGTGCTGAACTGGTCCATTCCCCACCATGGCCAGGGTGGCATAGGCTGGGACTGGAGTTTGGCCTGGCCTGTAATTGTAGCCAGCTGGGGGAGGGGGTGGACTTGGCTATAAATACTCAGAAGACTGCTAAGCGAGCCGGCAGCTGTGGCCCAGAGGCTGTGGTGGGCTCCAGTGGTGGGGGCTGGGCGTGGTCTGAAGCTGCTGAGCCCAGCTAGTTGGCCCCAAGGAGAGGGGAGGAGGCAGCACAATTTGCGGAACAGATAAAATCTGTTCTTAATTAACTGAGGAGAGAGACCCAGGCTTAAGCTGGCAGAGCTGTACAGCCCTCTGGGAGAGATGATGGTCACCCTTTGGGGCAGAGGGTGTGGCCATAGCACCACAGCGGGGAGGTAGCTATGATCTGAGGAGGCAAGGCTCTCCCACAGTCCCAACTCCTCTCACAGCAAGGTCAGTCCTGGCTGCAAGCTGGCTCCATGTATCTGGGGTCCTATGTCTGAGGGCCTGAAGACAAGGTACCTGGGGCTCTGAGGACCTGAGCAGGTCATGGCTGGGAGCTGGTACTTGGGTGGATTGAAGGTTCCTATGAAATTACCATTTGAGCCCTATCACAGCTAAGTGATTTCGTGCAAAAGGAAGTCCTCTGGGCACCCCTATTGCCCTTCTTCTATGGGCTGCAGCCGCCCTGCCCTCTGAGGGGGCTTAGCCACAGAGGTCTGGGCTGCCCAGTCCAGGGAGCTTCCCATGATGGGTATCAGAGCCCCAGCTTATCAAAGTTCAAGGACTGTCTTTCCCTAACTACTGTATAGGTGGGAAACTAAGGCTCAGAGAGGCAAAGGACTTGCCGAAAGTCACACAGAGAATTAAGAACAGAGCTGAAACTAAAAGCCAGGTCCTCCAACACTCAGGGAATAGGGTTAGGCCAAAAAGGAAACCCAAGCTTAATTCAGGAGACAGAGTGGGAAGAGAAAGAAAAAGACATCTTTGTCCTCTCTATCTCTAGAGCACAGATGATCTGGGTAATGACAAAGGCCCCGGGCTGCAAGGCGTTGGGGGAGATAGATTTGAGAGCAGGTGCAGGGGCCACAACAGAAAGAAACCTGAGCCCCATACAGTGTCAGCAGCTGGGATGGGGCCAGGAGGGGGCCTGCTGGCCCTGCACTCCCCCCACCTCACAGCACAGGCAGATCCAGGCCAGGCCCTCAGCAGGCAAGGCTGGGGCAGGTGCCAGTGAGCAGTGGGCACAGGTGGCTGAGAGGGAGGGGCTGCGAGCTGAGGGAAGACAGGAAATGGCAGCTGCCCAGCCTGCCCCAGCTCAGCCCACACTCCACTGCCTGGACAGAGGGTGGATGGGACTGTTGCTGGTCTGCTAAGGAGCCCTCAGGCCTGTGAGCAACACATACCCAGCACCCCAACTCCCTTTTACTCAGGGCCCAGCTTACCAGTGGAAGCATTAAAATGCTCTGTAGGCTGGAATGTTGTTAGTTGCCACTGAGTCGATTCTGACTCATGGCGACCTCATGTGTGCAGAATAGAACTGCTCCTTAGGGTTTTCAAGGCTGTGACCTTGAAAAAAGCAGATCGCCAGGCCTGTTTTCCGAGGCACCACTGGGAGGGTTTGAACCGCCAACCTTTAGGCTAGTAGTTGAGCGCTTAACCATTTGCACCACCCAGGGACTCCTACAGCCTGAGGTGAGGAGTCATAAATTCAGGACTGTTTTTCTGAGAGACAGTTCCAGCCAAGGACATATGGAATCACACAGGATATCCCATGTGCCCTCACGGGTCTCCTGACACACTCCAGGACCCTAGGTTTGTCTGACTAAGCAGGCCTGCCCCAGATAGCACCCCACCCCCAACCTGACCTGAGGGCATTAGGTAAGAATACTAGATAAGGGCATCTGTAGCTTTGTCCACCCTCTTCTCTCTCCCGGAAAAGGCACCTCTTAGCTCTTTGGTAGGCCTTAGCCAGAGACCTTCCTCTGGGAAGGATGGTCCCAACAGTCAGAGGTCTCACCCATCCCCGGGGCTACAGCTCTCCCCTGGCTTAAAAGGCCAGTTCCTCTGAGGGTCAGTGGGCAGATGCCTTCCTGAACTGTTCCCAACATAAAGATCCTATGCCCATCTGAGGATCCAAGCTCTCAGCTGGGCCCCCGTGTCACTTAACCTGAGTTGGGGAGAAGGCAGAGATCTAGAACCAGGCAGGGGAGGGGTCGGCAGAGGAGGTAGTGCCAGCACCCGGAGAGAGGTGGCCCATCTCTCACCATTCCTCCTCCCACTTGCAGGAAAAGAAGGGGCAGGAAGTGCAGAAGGGTCCAGCTGTGGAGATCGCAAAATTGGACAAACTGCTGAATCTGGTGAGGGAAGTAAAAACCAAGACCTGAGGGCTGGCCTTAGTACCTGTTCCATTTTTTAAATTCATTTCTTGCAGCCCCTGACCCTGGTACCCAGCCCAGACTTAGCACTCACCATGTGACCCTGCTCCTGACCAGGCCCCAGCATCTGCCCTGGCCCCAGCACCTCACCCCAGGACTTGGCCCTCAACCACCATTACCCCCTCCCACTTTGCACAAATAAACTTGTGTCTGGAAGCCCACTCCACACCTTTAATCTTGCCACTGCAGGGCCCTCAGGAAGAGGAGGAAATCTCAGGGTGGAGCCATAGTTCATTTATTATCCAGCAAACAGCAGGAGGACCAAGGGAGGGGCCCAGTCTGGACACCCTCCCATTATTGCCATGGGTTCCAGTTTGCTTCCCCAACTAGAGGGCCTAGAGGTGCTTAGTTGGCCTAGGAAGAGGGTGGACCCAGCCCCTGGCCCTTGGGGTGGGGCAGAGTCCAGATGGCCCTGGTTCTAGCACCAACTCATGAACCTCCACCCCAGGCCCATCTCCCTAGAGCCATTGAGCCCCTGTTGGAGTCAGGCTGACTAGACTCTGGGCTGCCAGGTCCAGCTCCAGGCAGGCTGGACTGTGAGTTCTGGACCCCAGGCTGGCTGAACTCTTGGATCCTGATTCCAGGCTCTGGGCAGGGTAGACTTAGGTCCCAGGCTCCACGCTAGGCCAGGGGCCTTCAGGGATGCAGCAGGTAGCTGCCTTCATGGCTGGGCTTCTGAGGCGGGGGAGCCTTTTCAGGACAGGGGCCAGGGCTAGAGTTGGGACTGGATTCAGAGAGGGAGTCAACGTCAGCAGAGCGGGAGTGGCAGGCCCAGCAGAGAATGACCCAGAGCAGCAGCAGCAAGAGGCCTACAAGGCCGTTGCAGACGATGGCGATGAGGGCCCCCTGGGAGATGGCTGCCCCCATGACGGGCAGCACCCTCAGACCAGCACAGACAGTGGGTCTGCCTCAATGGCAAGGCCCATGCCGAGGCGGGACTCCAGTATGGCTGGCCTTCCAAGGAAGAGGCTGTCCTGTCTACACACTCGATGATTCCCAGCCAGTGGAGATGTACACCGGCAGTCCTGATCCTGTGCAGGATACAAAGCAAAGGAGAGGGTGGTAAGGAAAGAGGAGTGGGGAGGCCTAGGAGGGGTGAGTAGAAAAAAGAGCACTCCTCCCACATCTCTGGCTACCCTGGCAGAGGGCCTTGGGTCCAACAGGCCTGAATACCCCACAAAACCAACACCCCCATCCTCAGCCCTGGCTCTAGGCACCTAGGTGTAGCTATAGTGGGGGGAGCTGGAACAGGCAGCCTGTATCTCATTCTCCTTAGAACCAGTGGGCATGGCCTGGCCCTGCCCACTGAGCTTCCAGCCCTCAGAAGCACTGTGTGGGGGTGGGACTGAGGTAGCCTAAGGCCTCGGAGGATGGAGACTGTGACCAGCTTCAGTGTGGCCTGGGTGCCTCCCCAGTCTCAGGACTCAAGCCAACCAGCCCAGGAGACCTCAAGAGGCACCAGCTCACACAGAGGGAACTTTGTGGAGGCCCTGGCAGGCATGTGTGGGTTCTATGTATCCAGGGCTGGGTACCTGGGTGTGCCTCTCTGTGGGACTCTGTTTGTCCAGGTCAGGTGCATGTGACTGGCTGTCTTACTCTGTCTCTTCGTTCCCTTCCTGGATGTGAGCCGCTGCCTCTGTTTACCCACCTGTGTTTGTGTGTGACTGTCTTTTCTCTCTGTGGGTAGCTCTCTTTATATCTGTCTCTCTGTGTGTCCCCATCACTAAGTGTGTCTCTGTGTCTTGCTTCTCTCCAGATCTGTCTCTTTGTGTTTCTCTGTATCAGTCTCTGTGTCTATGGGCTTCTTGGATCTCTCTTGCTCCCAGCTGGGTGCCCTCCTGTTCCCGTGAATCTGAGTCTTTCCCCTCCTCTCTCCATGGGGTCTGTCTCTGTGGTTCTCTGAGTCTCTTGTGTGTCAGTCTTTGTGTCTGTCTCTCTTTCTCCTTGGCTGTGCAAGTGTCTCTGTCTCTGTGGGGTCTCCGTCCCTGGGTCTCGGCTCCCGTGCCCGTGGAGGGAGGGTGCTCCTTACCTGAGTTGAGCCCGGTGCGCGCCCGCGGGGGGTCCGGGGCAGCAGGATGCTCGGCGACCACTGAGGCTCGGGAGCCTGCGGGCGGGCGGGCGGGCGGCGGGACGCGGG